TCTCTCTCTCCCTCTCTCTCTCCCTCTCTCTCTCTCTCTTCAAGGAGGTTGTTATGAATAACAGTGATTCTGATCATGACAGTACCACAGTTAGCTATTCTCTTGAAGAGGATCGAGTACGAGACCTTGATGAGAACATGATCGACTCACCCCCACCGGACGGACGCCACCACGAGGAACCACCCCCTCGTTACGAGGACGTGATAGAAGGACAGGAAGAAGAAGGAGGAGGGGAGGAGCATAGGGAGCTGCTGCAACCTGAGGGAATGGAGGAAGGGGTCAGAGAAGAAGAGGAAGAGATAAAAGTAGTAGTGGAAGAAATGGTAAGATATACAGAGATATACTGAGATATATTAAGATTTACTGAGATATACTAAAATATACTGAGATATACTAAGATGTACTGTGATATGGTAGCAAGATTTAGATGTACTTAAAAGTATTGAATTTTATTACACCTTAATATACAATGTACATGTACGTGTACATGCATTTATATCTCATAAATGTACATGTACATGTATTTTAGCGTTTTTAGTGTTCAACTTATTCCTTTATTTCTTAGCCTCAAGCTGAAGATCCTATCCCATCTTCCGACAATGCCACGCCCCAAGACACGCCCACAACACGAGAAACATCAATCGAATTCCCCCTGACTCATTTTTATGAACTAGAGGGTCGAACCCACACTGATCAATGGTCCATACCTTATAAAAGAGAGGAATCACTGGGAGTTTGTATGCTGGCTACTATTAGGATGATGAAAGAAGGTGGGTGGGTTGGTGGGCGTGGTTTAGTGATGATTTTGGGTGTGGTTTTTTTGTAGGTGCTGGAGTTGCTGAAGCTGACGAGAATTGCGTCAAGTTTTTACAGAGAACCATGCCAAGCTGCTTTGATAAAGTACACTTTATTTTATTTTGTGATTTAGCTAAATTTTGCAAACATATCAAAAGTACATGTACATGTACATGTACATGTATATGCATGTACATGTACATATACATGTAAATGTACATATGTCTTTCTATTTCTCCTTCTCTTTTCTCTCTCTCAGTTGTTAGCTCATGATGCTGTGTTCAGGTGGGATGAGTCCATCATGAAAGGAATCCGTGAGATGACGTTGATACTAATGGAGTTGATCAGTGTTAGGCTAAGATATAAACCAGTTCCAGTTTATTTATTGAATATGTTGTCACTGGTTAGTGAAAGAGGGAGGGAGGGAGGAAGGGAGAGAGGGAGAAAGGGAGAAAGGGAGAGAGAGAGAGGGAGGGAGAGAGAGAGAGAGAGAGGGAGGGAGAGAGGGGGAGGGAGGGAAGGAGGGAGAGAGGGAGGGAGGGAGAGAGATATCATATCTTACCATCATAATAATAATTCTCACTATTGTACTAGCAAAACTTGATGTAGTTTTTGATTAGTAACGCTATTATTGTATTATTAAAGTTTTGGGAAAGTGTCTTGTTTTTAAAAATTAGATACAAGTTTAGGAAAATTTCCGTTCCATTTACATGTGCCAATACACATAATATATAACGACTGGAGCTTAATTTGGAGCTCAATATATAACGACTGGAGCTCAATTTGACTCCTTAACTACACATGTGTACAGAAGTGGATGTACATGTACATGTACCTTTTAATTATCAATGGGTGTGGTTGATGGGTGGAGTCTATTTCTAGGTATTCAATGCTGACAATGCTTTCAATAATCGTAACAAG